TATTTTGCATTATCATCCGTCGTGCCGTTAGCGGTATAATCAAAAGTAACCGAGGGATCAACTGATCCTTGCGTCCCGCTACAAAGAGCGCTAACTTGAACAGGAAACAGCTTGGTAGCGTCTGTTCCACCGTAGGCCAAAATCGATTTTTGATCAACGAGGGTGGGATAGTGACGAGGAGCGAACGAACTCAACAGGTAAACTTCCCCGCGAATCGACACGTAGGTGCTGTCCGGACTATCCTGATTATTGTGGGATTGTACCTCGGAGTCGTTAAAGATGTACACCCGAGGGCAAATTAACAAGCCCAAGAACGCGAGGACAAATATCACCACACATGACAAAAATAATATGATAATACACAGTGCAACCTTTTCACGCCATGCCATTCTAACGTCTTTGCGTTTCATACCACAACAGCTCAAGAAACAAGAGGGAATCCACCAAGTAAGTAACCATGTGAGGAATACCCATTTCTTACGAGCTGGCGTGGTCACCCGGGGTTCTTCGGGTACCTCCTCTATCTCCTCCTCATCAGGTAACATCTTTTTCATCTCCATCTCCATGAACATATTACGTGATGGCGCATAAACCTCGGACCCGTATGTGGAAGTGTTATCGTCATATGTGCTATAGGTTTCATCCTGATAATAGTCGTCCTCGGAAAGGTTTGAACGATTGTCGTCTCCGGAATGGAAAGATCGTTGATCAAAATTCCTCGGCGGAGAAGCACGACGAGGTTTCTCCAACAAATCTTGATTTGAAGAATGCTGAGTCTGATATAGTTGATCCTCGCTACGCGCATAATCATTTGAAGGTGTCACGGCCGTTTTCTTTTCTTTTTTCCGTCGTTTATCATCGCTATCCATGCTCCTAAGATCGTCTTCTAGCTTCCGCCATGATCTCTCGCTTAAATAAATCTGGTGACAAATTATTGTTGCGTAAATTGTGAATTAGTAATACAGGTGTCAGCAAAAGAGAGATAAGAGAGATACATGTGTATTAATTAATAAGGAATAAGAATTAAAAAAGACAAAAAAAAACACGTCAAGTAAAGCCCCACACCAATCAAAAGATCCTTATTAAATAAGAGGCCAACCTTATTCTGCCCAATCACAGCATCAGCGTCGTCCCAACCGAAGCCTTTACCCACGGCCTCGCACTTAGCCCTTGAGTCTTCGTAACGTTCTAACCCCATTGAATCTAAAAGGGTCGCGTATCTGTCAATAAACTCTTGATGTTGATAGCTCACAACATATTCCACCTGAAGTCTCTTTGCAATCTCTGGCAGTCCGAACGATTTAACCTGAGAGTTCACCACCCTTTGATCAAATTGATTCGGCAGCTGGGTGTCATTGGGTCGAATACAAAAAACATACCAAGGTTGCGTCTCCTCGAGAGTTTCGCACAGTTCATTTAAAGCTGATGCAACTTGAGCGGCAACGCATGTGACCTTTGGTATCGAAGATTCATTGGATGCGGGTGTGTTCTTCTTACGACGCATAGAGGGTGCACGCATGGGTTTAACGGATTGCTGAGCTGCGACAATTGTGTTGCCATTGCGTGGGTGAGATTCAGTCGCGACAGCTTTATCGGTGAAAAGATCAGTGATAAAGCCGTTGTTGGAAGGAGCAATTTCACCGCCAGTGTCACGAAAGAGTGAGACAAAATCGGCACTGAGATTATCGATGTTTTTTTCTAGGAAACCGGTGGAGTTATAGGTCACCTGACCAAAGAAGTGTTGAATTCCAAAAGTTGGAAGTGAGTTTAAGCTTTTTCCTGTTGGTCTGAACGAGCTGTGTTCAGAGTATTTCTTGTTAAAGGCATCCAACATGGTTTGGTCCGTTTTACGCGAAGCTTTATTGACTTGATCGTTCATGATGGCTATCAAACCAGTTGAAGGTTTGGCAATCATCTGAAGACACGAGGTATTATCAAAGAAAGGAACATCGGGAATGCTGATGCTCTCTTCGTTATACTCTTCCTGACGAGCTTCGAAAATTTGACGCAAAACAAAATTATGCATCTTCTCGTTCGCAAAGTTGATGCAGAATTGATCTAGAGAGTTTGTTTCCAAATTCTGAAATCCAAGGAGATCCACCACACCAACGAAGCTGGCAAAATTTTCGTGACATATTTTTGTGTTGATGTACTCAACAATCCAGCTGAACAACAAGGAGTAGAGTAATTTCACAAGGTCATCACGCTGCGTCGAAGCACCCTCGACATCCAAAAATATGGTGCACACTTCCTTCTTGATCAATTTAGTTTTGTTGGTGAGAACGGTTTCCAAGGAATTAGTATCAAGGCCCAGAAAGTCAGCGACCAAATCTAAAACGTCCACATTCTTCACGAACGCCGAGTCTTTCAATCTGTTGTTGGGATCTTGCATGAATTGTAAGTTACCCAGGTGTAGAATAGCGGCCAGAAGTTGAAACATCTGAGCCACGTGCCTTTTGTGGAAACCCAAAGATTTCAGGGCCTGCTTCAGCTCATTAAAGTTGTCAATGTCCTCGACGCTAGGCCCTCGTGTTCCTTTGGGAACGTTTAGGTAACGGTATTGAGAGGCATCGGTGAGATGAAGGTGAGATTTCTCCTCTTGTGAAGCACCGGCGATAAAATAATAAAAGACGTGAAAGTTTCGTTCATTTGGTGGAACATTGGCGACGCGATTTTTATCCAGAAGATAATCGAGTGTCTTTGCGCCAATCAATTTTCCGCGTTCACTGAATTGTAGCTCGGTATATTTTCCGAAACGAGATGCATTATTATTTACTATTGTCTTTGAATTTCCGAAAGATTCGAGGATAAATTCTGAGTAAGGAACTTGTGCTTGAATTCTCGATTCCTTTTTATGATGGGCGCTCAGGGCGATCAGCTGTTTGACCAATAGCTTACGGGTCTCCGATTTCCCGCTACCCGACTCACCACTAGGATATCGAGAGAAAATGAGCCAAATGACGCAATTTGTTGCAAATTCGGTGGTTGAATTTTTCAGTGACCTACCTTAAGATGATGGATTGGTCTTGTCCAGTTCGTCGCATGTGTAGATAAGCCTGAGAGGCGATTTGAAAAGCGTGCGGAGGTAGTTGATTTTTTTGACCCGAGGTGTCTTTGTAGTCGGCGACATATTCTTGTACGATAGTATCGCTAAAAATGGGTAGAGGTTTGTAAGGATTCACGGCTACGAGAGCGGAATGGTTTAAACGAGTGTATATGGTGTCCCTCTGATAACGTTCGCGAAGGGTTGACGTTATCGAGTCTTG